TTGACGTTCGCTTGCCTTATCACGACGGCGACATGAAGACCTAAATTTAAAGACAAAGTATTTGCAGCATATCTTAGCCTTGTACGCAGTACAATGTAGAAGTTGGCCGGGTCCCGCCCCACCCTTTAACAGTGAATAGTAGGGGTTATATGAAGGGCTCCACATAGTTACACTACAAAGACAATTACTATCCAGCTGCTAATGAGTGGGGGCAGTATCCAATGTATAAGCCTTACACGTAAACCTTTTTGCCATGCAGATGCTACTAGACATTGCGAGTCCTTCAGATAAAGGTCAAGATGAATATGATTCTGATGATGTCGGAAAATGTGAAAGTTGACATAATCACATGATAGCATATGAGAAACATTATACATCAAGATTGTGAATTACAGGAAAATCCTGAGTCCTGGCTTTGCTGAACGCTCCAGACGCATGCGTGAGATTCACAACTTCAGCAACTCGAAAGAGTGCAACCCAATGGCTCACTATGGTAAACAGGCAGGTCACGCAGTCTTCATAATGAGGTTGTCGATATCCATCTGAAAAGGCTTGACTAGCCCCTACCGACCGACTAGTTTTTAGCGTATGTAATCGCAGCAAATCGACAAATACCGGAGGAAAAGCCCATTCAGAAAGAAACGTGGTCTGTGCCCGATACCGGACTGTCTCATAGTTAGTGTAACATGTTCCCCCTCTACTTCATACTGCTCGCCATGACGGCGGTTCACCAATGGCCAGCGATGTTAAAATCCTCCTTAAGTAGATAGAATATGGGGTATAAGAGAGTCTTATTCTAATGTACCCAAACCCATATTCTATCTACTAAAGGGGGACTATTATTACTCCCTGTTGCACACCTGATGCAAGACTCCATTGTACATGGAAAGATCCCTCGGCTGCATTCGGTTCGAAGCCCTTATATAGCCCTTATATAACCCCTATATACCCCTTATACAACCCTTACATAACCCCTATATAACCCCTATATAACCTATTATAAGAAGAAGACGAAGCTGAGCTGCGGCTGAACCCATTGCTGCAAACTGCTCAACAGTGAGCTTATTGAAGAGCGTCGCATTGTGCTCCTGAAACACCTGTGTTAAGGAACTTAAATTAAGTTACCATAATGGGTATATATAGGGATAATGGAAAAGAAAATGGAAACTACTATAATGGGGTTATATAGGGTTCAGGGTAAATTAAGTTACCATAATGGCCTATAATGGAGAATCAAATGGAAAATAAAATGGAAAATGAAATGGAAACTGGGGGAATATAGGGATTTACGTCGCATTGTGCTCCTGGAACGCCTGAAACGTCTGCTTTTACATTGGGATTTCAAATCCAAAAGCATGGTTTTGGTATTCCTTATTTGAGGTCCAGCAAGATATGTCCAACAATGACCCAGTGAAAGGCTGTGCGGTTCTGCTCTTTAGATTTACAGACTTGTTTGGAACAGTTGGTTGCAGGCATTGCAGCCTTCAACTGATCATGGCCCCGGCACATCAAAAGCAGCAGAGTTTGTCAGGTTGTGATAGCTGCTCCGCAAATGGATCAATTGTGGCCTCTGTGGTAGGAGCGATGCGGAAAAGTGCGTTAGCATTGGAAACTGCTGTGTCAAGCGCATCATTTCCACTAGGGGTGTTTAAATGTGTTGCAATGGATAACCAGCAATTGTGTACCATTTGAAGACTTCCCTTTGATCACGTCAAGCTTGCGCACACCCCGTCCGATAGGCGAGGACTCTCAGCCCACAATAGTATGTTCGATGTTCGCATGTACAGATGATGCAGACGTTAACACAATTTGCAAACCATTGCAAGCTGCGTAAATAGCGGATAAGCCCCTGCAAAGCTTCAAGTGGTCAAAAATGGTGCAGCCTGAGTTGCAGGGGCCTTACTTGCTCCATCAGAACCAAACCCCCATGAAAGGTGCAAATACTTTCCATATCTTTCATATTTCAATGTAACCTAGAGAATAACGCCCCCAAACAACCGACTGAAGTGCCCCGAGCCCTAGACCTTGTAGGCCTAAACCAAGATCCTGAATCCTAAGCTGTATGACCAATACCCCAAGCACTTTTAAGCACTTTTATGAGCCACGGCGCAGGCAAGAACGAGTTCTCGAAGCTGTGGCGCGATAGAACGAGGGAGACAGCGCCCTCCCAGCCTCAGCCAACTTTGGTTTGTCACAAAAGGGCCTACGCTAAAGGACCATTCATGACTATACAATGATGGTGGGGGCTCCCACTTAGGGATGAAATGGGATGGACAATTTTGCGGAGCTCAAGATGAGATTTCTCAAGAAAAGGTACTGTCAGCATTTGGGTTGCAGGTTTAGGTTTGGGGTTCTAAGTCTAACATCAAACACTCTCAAACAAAAGGGGCATTACACAAGGATCGGACAGACTGGCGCAACAACTGGTCCCCCACATGCTAAGTCCTAAAGCCTAAGCCCTCAACCCTGATTCCATGACTACGGCAGCTCGGACTTGCATGTGCTATATGAGTGTACCTGGACCCCAAAAGTAGGTAAAATAATGGCCTTTATGGCTATTATTTTGGGTTTAGGGCTATTATTACATACTTTTGGGGTTTAGGTAGCTCTAAAGGCTTAATGGAGGATCCTAATTGAAGGGAGAGCCTACTGCATGGCCATTCCAGGGACACATATTTTAACAACTACCATATGTGTGGCACGCTGGACGAAGCAGCCAGCAGACCAGGTTTGGGCTCTATTGCACTTTACTCTGGCATAAGACAAGATAAATCAGCGTCTAAGATGATTTCATCATGCAGGGTTTCAAATTTACGGTCATAGAGTCGGGTAAACTAGTGCACTACTGTAGAATACCATGCTACCCAAGGTATGAGGTACTTAGGGTCATGCTAAGCGTATGATGGTTCCAGGCCCTCCGGCTGGTCTCGGGGTCGGGTTTCCAGAAGCCCCTGATTCCAATTTTGCAGGGTGGGTGGCTTGAACATCTACTCCTGCCCACAGCCAAGTACCCAGCACTTGAGTACCAGCATTCATGATGCTTAGATACTTGGAGCCTGCGAAAGCGGGAAACAAGAACAACAAATTGACAGCGGCACGCAACGGCAAGCTTGCTCTCTAATAACTGCAGGAACGGCTGCACATAGGATGTCATCTTGCCAACAGTTCACATCTGAACCGCCATGGAACCAACAACGGCACAAGGCTTTGGGTTGGGAGCGTTAACCCCGAAGCTGACTTTCAAAAATCGTGGCACAACTGTGTCCTTCTCGAACAGGAGGGCTCTGCTGATGCAATCGATTCAGTTCTTGCTACCAGGACTCCTCAAGGAATTCTGAAATTCAGAGTCCCGCCCCGCGCATTGTACTGACACCTCCACAAAACCTCCAGGTTACCATCTCTGCCGATGGCAGCAGCGCACTAACGATGATCTCTGCTGGTTTTTAAAAAACGTTTTGCGCAGAGGTGTTGGTTGTCCAAATTGATATTTTTTATGGCTTTCGGTACTGCGGGTTGTTAGCCTCTACCTTAGAAGATGCACTAATTCAGGGCTTTAAGTGGTGCAAGATTTCCAACGACTTAGTATTGTTAATTTCACTGTAATCCATGATTCGACCCAGTTGCGGTCTTGAGGCGCTTTGGAAAGGTCCTGTAAGCGCAGGCAAAGGGCAGGTCTGGCACTCGCTTCCCGCGGAAAAGTCTGAGACATCGCCATCATAGCTAAGCTAGGGATACATTCAACCTTCAGCTGTTGCAGATACGAGCTACTTGGATGAACTCAGCAACGGCAGCACAGTCAGCTTTGTATCGGCGCTGAGTACAACTATAACAACAACCGCCCAGCAAACGCATTGCCGCATTGCTCCACCGCCCCGCATCCGCCTAATTTTGTGCCCTCAACCGTACGCAACTTGTCCTAAACCTCAAACGTTGTTCTACTCGTTCTTGTTCTCGTTATCTGCCTCTCTCTCTCTCTTCCTCCCATTTTCTCTGACTCTCTCTCTCTCTCTCTCTTGGCTGCCGGTCTCTCTCTTGCTCTCCCTCCCTCTTCTGGCTACCGGCTAGTCCTCTTTTCTCATGCATGGAGCTTCCCGAGGCATTCTGAATCTTTCTGGCATGTTGTCTACATAATACATTTCTGACGAGCCCTCCTTTTCCCCCCCTAGAAGCCCTACATCATGAACGCTAAGTTCAAAATCGCAAATCTTAGTACCTTTGCGCACGAAACCCTCCATCTCCCTTTCCCCCGGGACCAGCTCAAAACGAGGTGGCTGCTCAAGCGCCAAACAGGTGCCGAGCAGAAGCAGCAAAGGCCGCAGCATGGCTTTCAGAGATGAGAGCTTTGCAAATTGAACCCTGTAAAGTTACCCTTGAATCTTTGAATATGCTGCTACCATTCAGAAAGACACCTCATGATCTGAGGAAGCGTCAGGGGAATTTAGATTTACTCGCGCTGCTTCAGGCGTAGAGCCTAGTGGTTAAAGCTTTGGTATACAGCATAAAAATAATTGGCAATCAACTACTTTTTGATGATGATGATGATGCTTGGAGTTATGGTTGTTCGCGTTGGTGCTGGAATCTTCATGCTATGGTCAGCCGCATACAGGGCCGGGCTATCCATGCCAAGGCATCTGAGCCAAAGGCTCATCGACAAAGCATAGTCCTGATATTACCGCGCACATAATTCATACAATCTCAGGGTCACCGTGTAGCTAGAAAGCTGACTTACGCTCGTTCAGCTCTGCGAGAACCAGGCGTTAACCGGAAATGTATCCTCCTTCGAGAGATTTGCTTCAACTTTTCGTTGCCCTGTTCAGCCAAGCTAGGAGCGATTGCTATCCAGCATACATCGCCGGGAATAACACTTCGACCTACTGGGGCGTCGGGGCCTGTCAAGAGGCCCAATAACTGTGACGAGAGCACGCAGCATGGGCCATGTTGCGGAGTAAACTAATAGGCACCCATGATAAACCTTCAACCACGCTCTTCCGGTGAAGCGCCTGTCAGCTGCTGGCTGACTGTTGCCCATCCCCCGCCGACGCCTGTTGCATCATTTATCTGGGTTGATTTTAAGGAGGTGAAATTAAATTCCATAATAATGTGGGGTATACATATATATATATATATTAATTCATAGAGTTTCCTTACTACAGTAACTTGATTCAAGTTGCTTTACAGCAACCGCTCAGCAACCCAGTCATCTGGAGTGCGGGGATTTGGATTTGGGGAGTTCGTTTGTGGTTGCCATGGGTTGCATCTGGCAGTTTCTCTTGTTTTGCGGATGGCACGTGTACGGATGAGGCATGTGAATCATGAGGAATAGGTACATAGGGTCGCAGGAAAAACGTGTGAATCGTAACAAGAGAATCGCATTATTCCCAGTCTGTCGTTTCTCGTCCTACTGCTGTGTAAAATACGCAGTAGTAATCAGAAATCGCTGTTTATCGCTGTTTAGATTTTCAGGGGTATATGACCGTTGTACGCTTTGGACCCTCTGGTTCCAGGGTTTCAGGGACGGAGCTATGCTTAGACTCACCGCTATTCTGGCGGTTTAAGGGTTTACCATAATTTGGGGTGCCATTATGGGGGGTCCCCGTAATAAGAATTATAGTAGTTTGGGGTCTATATTGGGGTCCGCCGATTTAGGGCAACTAACATTTTGGACACCACACACAGCATTTAATTTATCTAATCGGTGTTTTTATAGGGGTCTTTTTGACATTGGTTGGGGTCACCGACGTGCTCGTATCAATGCGCAATGTGGAGTCCCACGCCCACGCCTCTCGCAACTTCCATATCCCTGAGTAATATCCGTTTTGAAAGAACTGCTGCTAGTACTGACAGGATGTTTCATGCCAGGTCCGGGTATAGGGTCTAGGGTTCAGTGTAAATGAATGCAAGCAGCACAAATGAAGAACACTTTGCTGCAAAACACACACACACACACACACACTTGCAGGCATCCCCGGAGGGATGTAGAAGATTTAGTTACAGCTTCACACTTGCTTGCTCACGTCAACTTGTCTGTGACATGTACTGACATGTCTGCACACT